AGGCAATCATAGGTTTGAACGTTGTTTTCAATTTAGACTTGTTTATATTTTTTCGTTTGGGCTTGTATTATATTTGCCTTCGGGTTTATATGATCCGTTCATCCTATTTTGACTCCTCAAAAATCAAGAGTCTATCCTAAATTGAGGTAAATTTTATGGCTTTCCAAATACTGTTTCGATTCCTAACATCACTGAAGAGACATTAATTGTCGAAATCCGGATATGGTGTACAAAAACCTTTGCACCTTTTGTTTGCGGTATACCATCTTTTCCGCAAGTTCATTGTTTTCTGTTTAGTATTAAATTTATAATTAAGATCCATTTATTACATCGGTGATCCGTTTATTTGGCAATCGCCAATGGCAGTCAGCAGGGTTTAAGAACATTTGTTGTTCGACTTGTTAGTCAAATGCGTTTTGTTAAAATATACTTTTTCACTTTTTTGGTCTTTTGGAAAATGTTGTTTGTGCTGTATTTAGACCCCTCTAACAAGAAATTTGTTTTGCATGCACACGTATAAAAATTGCGGTTTGTTATCCAACGCAATCATAGGTTTGAACGTTGTTTTCAATTTAGACTTACTAATGGTAGTTATATATATATAGTCAATAATATTTGATGTGCAGTTATAGTAGGATATGCACTTCTCATTTCCATAGAGATTATTTGGTCCCAATCCCTCAGTCATTCGCCGAATATTGTTTTTATTGGGATTTTATATTGATTTTGTTACCAGAAAATTAAAAGCAAACTAAATATTATTGTTATATACATATACACATTCATGGATCTACAATCTTTTGATACCTGTATCTTGGTATTGCACAAGGTCATGTTTTTCTCTGACTGTTTTTGACGTCTTTACACTAAATCCATTGGATGTACTGATTGATAATTTAGTCTTAGATGCATGATTTTTGTTATTAGTTGTTAGGGGCTTTGAAATAGCTGTCAGAGTAACTGCAAGTACTCTCAGATCTGTATTTAGTGTCTATTTGTTGTTGGGATGTATAAGTTCCCGGCCACAACCACTTGTATTTGTAGTATTTGTATTTTTATCCATCTGATGAGTTAAGCCTTTTTCAACTGATTTTTATAGCTCGTTCTTATGATGTACTGTTACACCATTGTCCCAGGTTAGGGGGAGGGTTGGGATCCCGCTAACATGTTTCCCCCCGCCACATTCTGTATGTATGTGCCTGTCCCAAGTCAGGAGACTGTAATTCAGTGGTTGTCATTTGTTTATGTGTTACATATTTGTTTTTTGTTCATTTTTTGTACATAAATTAAGCCGTTAGTTTTCTTGTTTGAATTGTTTTACATTGTCATTTCGGGGCCTTTTATAGCTGACTATGCGGTATGGGCTTTGCTCATAGTTGAAGGCTGTACAGTGACCTATAGTTGTTAATTTCTGTGTCAATTTGATCTCTTGTGGAGAGTTGTCGCATTGGCAATCATACCACATCTTCTTTTTATACGATTGTCGTATATTGGTATCAAGTCATAGTCGTCGTCCGAAGACACTTGGTTTCCTGACAAGAACTTTAGTACATGTATTAGTTAATAGAAATCTATGAAATTTAAACACAAGGTTTATAACCACAAAAGGAAGGTTAGGATTGATTTTGGGGGTTATCATGGTTATGGTCCTAACAGTGTAGGAATTAGGGGCCAAAATAAGCATTTTTCTAGTTTTTAGACAATAACTGGTGGAACGGTGTATGGATCTCTCTGAAATTGTACAACAATTATGGAATAACTAATCGAAGAATTCAAATAGAGAAAAATATTCAACGAGTGACCGAACAACACATTAATTCACTAATGCGCATAGCGCATGAGTTAATTATCAGTGTTGTTCGCTCACCAGTTGAATATTTTTCGATATTTGAATTCTTTGATTAGTTATTCTTTTTATTACATTGGCAAATGGCTTTTTTTAATGAAATTAATGTAGAAAATGTAAGGAACTATATCTTTTTTCTACGCATTCACAATTTGTTTTGATCCGACGTTATCGACGTCTTGACAACGCCTATTGTTGTAGGACGTCAGAGAGTGAAATAACCACAACGGGATGGCTAGAATTGGCTTTTGAAAAAAAATTGTAGGGGGGGGGGGCAATTCGCAACAGCATAGTGTATTGCACAAAAGCAAAAAAATTGAATATAAATTCAAATCATTTAACCAATTCTAAGTTCTTTGACTACAGTTATTCTGTGTCAAACATTTATTTTTAATCCAAATTCAGACCTGTATCAAGCGCGAATGTTGTGTCCATTTTTGCCCCAACTGTTCAGGGTTGGACCTCTACGGTCGTATCCAGCTGCGCTCGGCGAAGCAATTTATTTATATTTAATACTTTTACTTAACTTAAATGTTGAAAGTTTCTGATTAGGTCAGTTTGAGCGAACCAGTAATGATAAGTCATTGATATTTGGTATGTAGTTGTATGTCAGAGCCATAGTTATTGTTTTGCCAAGCCCCTCAGTTATAGTCTAATGATTTTGAAACTTTTGCAAGTCATGCTTCATTGACTTTGGATGTTTTACATAGCTAACATGTTTAAGCCTTGTCATTTAAATCTCAACATTTGAAATTAACTAACAGGATTACATACAGGCAAGACATACTTCTACAATGTATGTCTTAAGTTTATGCTTGAAATGTATACCAAAGGTTTATATCAGTAATGTCTTGGATAAATAATTTATACAGGAATAATGTCACTTTGAAATGTATGAGTTAGAAAGTAAGTGCTATTAAAATTTAGGTTTACAGAAGTTATTCCTTGGAAATATACATTGTTTAATGTAATGAAAATTGCATTGCAAGCAATCCCAAACAGGTCTAAATTTCTTGTAGATTATTTATGAAAATGTTTAAAAGAACAACCATATTGTATACTACAGCAAAAAAGTTTTGAGGTTGTATATTACTATCATCTCGTTCGAAGACATTTGGTTTCTGGACCATAACTTCAGTTTAAGTGTATGAATGTCTATGAAATTAGATTTAAAGGTTCAATACCACAAAAGGAAGGTTGGGATTATTTTTGGGGGTCATGGTTCAACCAGTGTAGGAATTAGGGGCCAAAAAAAGGCCCAAATCAAGCATTTTTCTAAATTCAGGACAATAACTTGTTTATAAGTATTTTAATTGCTATGAAATTGTACCACAAGTAGATGGTTAAGTTTCATTTTGGGGGTATTTGCCCAAACCGTTCAGGAATTAGAGACCAAAAAGGGTCTAAAACAAGCATTGTCAGACTGGCCTATATTATGAATTGATCATGATAAGTTGTTCTCGTTTAGAATACATAAAATATTTGCCACTGGACATGAAAATAAGCAAAAAAAGTCAATTAATTTATTTTTTGTGCATTATCAGAATGAATTTGCAAATATATAACAATTAAATTATGTTGTATCCTTGGAGCTTTTTCAATGACCTAGCATATAAATATAAAAAGATGAGGTATGATCCTCAATGTGACAACTATCAATTAATAGACCAAAGAACAAAGATGTAAACATTTACTGGTCAATGTACAGCCTTAAACAATGATCAAAATCAATACCATAAAGTAACCTACAAGGATGAAAAAATATAAACTACATACAGTAATGGCAGACATCAAACAACATAAGAACCAACTTTCAAAATTAGCCAAAAAGGACTGGATTCATCAATAGGTCTTATAATAAAAAAGGTGCAAAAAACATGTTTTCCCAAACTAAAATATTTATCAGTTTACATTCAACAGATTTAGTGTAACAATGTTTCACAGTTTATCATTTTATGCAGTCTTTAGAAAAGTATGACTGTGTAATGTCAAAATATTCACTATATCAAAATGGTATAAAACCTATTTCGCAATGCAAGTATGCAAGGATGTACAGACAGACAAGTGTAAAACTTAATTCCCCCTCCGTTACGACAAGGGCATAAAAAAGAGATGCACAATGGGACTATGTCGGGAGTTTTAATAAATTATGAATTACATGTTTATGCAGAAAAAACACATACAAATGTGTGTTCTTGTGTGCAGATATAACTAATTCCATGTCAAAATTCCATGTATGTTTGACAAGGTTATTGATATCCAAAAAACATTAAAAAAGGGGGATTTTCCAGTTTTTGGACAATAACTCAAAATGTGTTCACCAAATGGCAAGAAACTTATGTGACTTGTTTGTATCTATTGACATGAGCTCCCTTTTGATTTTTATAAATTTAAGATTTTATGTTTCCAAGTTGTGGGGTTTTATTCATTTAAAAAAGGGAGATTTTCCAGTTTTCAGACAATAACTCAAAAATGCTTACAGCAGTTTTCATGAAACTTTGGTGAATTGTTTATATTTATTGTCGTAAGCTCCCTTTTTATTTTTATTGATTTTAGATTTTATGTTTCAGAGTTTAATATGTGATTTTATTCATAAAAAAGGGTGGATTTTCATATTTCAGACAATGCTTTGAGCAGTTATCATGAAACTTTGGTGACTGGTTTATATCTATTAAGATAACCTCCCTTTGGTTTTTCATGAATGTCTGATTATGACATTGAAAAGTTATTGAACTTTATTCTTTGAATAAGCGATTGGTGTATCATGTGCTCATGGTGCAGCTGTCTATTAATTTTGGGCCAGGTTTTCAAATTGGTCTACATGCAGGGGTTAAAATTTGCATTAAAAAATGAAAGGTCCTGGACTATTTGAAATTTTCAGTCCAGTGAAAGGTCCTCCATTCTTTTTGTCAACGTTGAAACTATTCTGAAGCTTACGAAAGGTATAAATAAAATTTGGTTGATTATATAGGGAATCACTGAAGCATGACTGGAGTGGGCCCCACCCCCTTAGTTATAAAAAGTTCTGGATCCGCCACTGTTTACTGTCACATCACTAGGTAAATACAGAATTCTCCTAAATGTATAAGCTAATTGTTTGCAAAACTCTTTGAATACTTATTATAGTCTTGCATCCACATGCTATTAACATGATTAATAAAGTACTGTTTTCTCCCTTTCAGCAGTACATTGTATTACAACAAATGGACAGAGGAGTTGACTATTGATAGTGACTGATAATGGACTGGAGTAACCTAGGGTCCAATGACTCCATGCCTGACAGTCCATGTGTACATGTATGTCAACAGCCAATTCTAAGTAACCTTAAACATATATATACAAAAGACCTAAAATAATAGTATGTGCATCTATGGGAGACTTATATGTCACTGTTGTCACACAGTGTTGTGTGGCTTCATTACTGATTAGAGACTAATCAGATTATCCTTTACTTTAAGTTTAAATATAATGCACATGTACTCAATGATTATGACTTGCCTTCATTTCACTTGTAATAATTATGATGCAGGATCCAACAAAAGTATATTTTTTTTTACCTACATTTTCTGCGTCAGTCTCATTGATTTATTAAGTACCTTGTAAATGTATATGGATTTTATAAATAAGGTCTTACAATGTATGGTAGGATTGTCAATGAGAAAACTTTCCATTAGTCAAAGAGGATGTAAAAATTTTTAATTTTCAGAATTAGCTCCTCAGATGTAAGTGGAAGGGAAGCTATATACATTATATGTTTAAATGAAATTAACAACAGGATTAGATATTGAGGAGATCCTATAGCTACAGTATATATAAATGTAACTGGTATGTATTTATTACAGTATTTAATTTCTTGGATGATGGATCGGCTTCAAAGTAACAACACTTGGTCAGCACCTCAAAAGGAACATGCATGCCATGTTTGGTTTCATTCCATTCAGTGGTTCTCTAAAAGAAGATATTTGTATGTATTTCCCATAGGGTCCTATGTTAAACTAAGTCCTCCGCTGGCGGCCATCTTGGATTATGGATCGACTTCAAAGTAACAACACTTAGTCAGCACCTCATAAGGAACATTCATGCCATGTTTGATTTCATTCCATTCAGTGGTTTTCTAAAAGAAGACATTTTTAAATATTTTCCATAGGGTCCTATGTTAAACTAAGTCCCCCACTGGTGGCCATCTTGGATTATGGATCGGCTTCAAAGTAACAACACTTAGTCAGCACCTCATAAGGAACATTCATGCCATGTTTGGTTTCATTCCATTCAGTGGTTCTCTAAAAGAAGACATTTGTATGTATTTCCCATAGGGTCCAAAGTTAAACTAAGTCCCCCGCTGGCGGCCATCTTGGATGATGGATCGGCTACAAAGTAACAACACTTGGTCAGCACCTCATAAGGAACATTCATGCCATGTTTGGTTTCATTCCATTCAGTGGTTCTCTAGAAGAAGTTCAAAATGTAAAAAGTTAACGACGACGACGGACGCCAAGAGATGAGAAAAGCTCACTTGGCCCTATGGGCCAGGTGAGCTAAAAATACTGAATTCCAAGGCAATTTCAGAAAAATCCTAAGGGTTCCACAGAACCCAGTGTCTCGCCTACTTTTGCTGTTAATTGCAGGCTCAACAAAAATGAGAAAAAAAATTAATAAAAATATTCCTTTCGATACTATCTTTTGATTGTAAGAAGCTTCTTTCCAAGTTTGGTAAAAATCCAGGATGGTTTATAATCAAATAAATGTTTTAAATCTTTAACTGCAGACTGTATGTAATGTTAACTGGAAGAAAGACTAAGTCCATTTATAAGTAAAGTACGGATGAACAGGTACACAATTTTAACAAAATTTCCTTCTAGATACTAGCTTTTGATCATAAATAAGCTTCTGTCCAAGTTTGGTAAACATCCAGGATAGTTTAAGAAAGTTATTAAAATTTTAAAAACTTTAACCACAGAGTGAATGTAATGTTTCCTGGCATAAAAACTAAGTCCATTTATAAGTAAAACACGGAAAAACAGGATTTTTTTTTTACAAAATTTACTTCTGGATACTTTCTTATGATCATAAACAAGCTTCTGTCCAAGTTAGGTAGAAATCCAGGATAGTTTAAGAAAGAAAGGGAAGTCAATGGTTGTAGCTGCTGGATTTTAACATAAAAAAAGTGCTTTTTTTATTGTCGAGCCTTTGACTTTTGTCTAAAAAGCGAGACATAGCGATCCTACATTCCGTCGGCGTCGTAATTAACAAGTTCTGGGTCGAAGGGTTCAAAAAGAAAGATTTTGAAAGCAGAGAAAACTGTGCACCTAATGACCAGCATGACATTATAAGATGACAAAACGAAAAATCTTAAAATTCAGGCTAAAAATAAGGCTAAGGTACTTTGCTTCAGTCACGACCCCATGATGTCCCGGGAGTATTCTAGTATATATTATATATACAGGTAATGTGTAGTACACATGCATGAATAGAGTTAGTTTTCATTATTACGGTAATTTATGTTGATAAAAATGAGAATATGTAGTATTATTGCCAATGAGACAACTATCCACCAGAGTCCAAACGACTGAATGTTAGCAACTATAGATCACTGTATGAACAGCTTTCAACAATGAGCAAAACTGATACTGCATCTAGCAAGCTATAAAAGGTCCTGAAATGACAGATGTAAAACAATTCCAATTTACGTAAAAGACATTAAACGAAAAATAAATATGATAAACAACAACTATTATATTCCACTCCAGTTGTTCACACGATATATATATATATATATGTAAGTTTGGTAAATCATTGGAGATTAAATTGATGTTATCATTTTTTGCCTGATTGGTAAGCCAATATTTGATGTATGTTTTACAAAAAATATATGCTGTTTTTGTTTCGCTTGATAGAGTCAAAAAGCGAGGCATAGGTATACTGTTTCTGGCGTTGGTGACGACAGCGGCGTCAACAATGTATTAGTTTGTGATTAGGTCTAGTTTATAGTGAACCACAAGTAGTAAGTCGAAGATAGTTGGTATGCAGTTGTATTAGTATTGGCACATCTCATTACCATGGAGATTATTTGGCCCCTCCCCCTCAGTTATGGTTTATTGACTTAATTTGAAATTCTTGCTTAGTCTTCATGTATTAGTTTGTGATTAGGTCAGTTTATGGAGAACTACCAGTGGTAAGTTAATTATGATTGGTATGCAGTTGTATAAGCATTGGCATATCTCATTTCCATGGAGATTATTTGGCCCCACCCTCTCAGTCATGGTCTATTGACTTTTAAATTTTTGCTTAGTTTTCATGTATTAGTTTGTGACTAGGTCAGTTTATGGGGAACCACTAGTGGTAAGTTCATGATAATTGGTATGCAGTTGAATACGCATTGGCATATCTCATTTCCATGAAGATTATTTGGCCCTGCCCCCTCAGTCATGGTCTATTGACTTTGAAACTTTTGCTTAGTTTTCATGTATTAGTTTGTGATTAGGTCGGCTTATGGGAAACCACTAGTGGTAAGTCAATGATATTTGGTATGCAGTTGTATTAGCATTGGCACATCTCATTACCATGGAGATTATTTGCCCCCCCCTCAGTTATCATTTATTGACTTTAAAATTTTCTTAGTTTACATGTATTAGTTTGTGTTTAGGTTTTTGGAAAATGACGCTATCAGCGGCATGTTTCTGATACCATTGACCAGAACTTACGGAAGTCGATTATTGCCTCCGCCTACCGCACTCGGTTTCATATTTACTATTTTACATACTAACTGGAATCTGCTTGTATTACGCTACACTCGAACAAAGTGTTTTAGTCGGACGGGAACCAGTTTACATACTTTATTTTATTTACCAAAAAGATATCTTGACCTGTCCATATGTTTTTTGTTATTAAATGGTATTTGGAGCTATCCCTTTGTTATATTTTTCATATTTATTCGAGCTTTCACTTTTATGCACATGTCTTTAATACAGTCGTAAACAATTGTATGTATACATGATAAATAGATCCGTTTTGTTATGGTGTTGGACTTTTTACCCTCCAATGATCAGCAATCGCTAGACAAAATAGTTCTCCTAAATAATGTCAGCCTTTCATGCCATTTCAACTTTACAATCATTAAAAAAAGTGATATCCATTGGATAGAAACTGGTCTTTATCCAGATTTACGAAGATTTTAAAAATCGGAAATACGGTTATACCCACGCGGTGCGTATTCATGAATCTTTGTTTACAAAACAGGATTTCGGAACGTCTCTAGTTTTTAGATCGTAAGTCACGATAAACTCAAACTGAAAGTAAACAGTTGTTTGTAAGACGCCGGGTTTACTCACCATAAACAAGCTGAAACGTTCAGTATGGCATATATTTTAGGTTAAAGACGGTCCCATTCATTTAAAAAGCATTTTGAAAGTAGACGATGGGATTATTTCAGGTTTAGGGAACGAGTAAATTATCACAAAGTTCATTTCTTGACGACCTCATAATTTCATCATGTCGATGGTACAAATCGATTTTTACTGTTTACTGTCCCTTTTCATGTTTTGTATTAAAACGGTCGTTTATTTTTTTTTAAACCCGAACCAGGCATATGCATTCTGTAATTATACAAATCATCGTTCTTTGTTCAATAGATAGTATCAATTTCAACTCTTACATTATATTTTTTTTAAATATATTTGCATTACACATGCAATGGTAGTACCTTTCCAATTACTATTTAAGTGTTGTGTCTAAATTAAAGTTGTAACACTTTATAGTGACTGGAAAGGGTAGAAAAATTCATCAGATGAGAAAAGGCTGAAGATACTTCAAACGGCACCGAATCATTAGATATTGCATCTTATAAAAAGAAACTGAGAATTGGATAGTTCCACTTCAAGGTAAAAATGTTTATCACTTGTGAAATGAAATTAAAAAAATATTGTAACACTGTAGTTTATTAATAAAGATACTATTATGTGTATTTCTGTATTGGCCTTATTATTGGTCCTCAGACCAATACACCCAAGACATGGACCAATAACAAGGCCAATACAGAAATACTTGCGCAATGATATTATAGAATGACAGTATGGTTCAATAGCGGGAATCAGCCCCTCAACTACTTTTTACTTAAATATTAACTTCTGGCTTCAACGCTTTGTTCGTCTTGTCTGGAGATCTTGCTGTAGTTCCAGTTCAGCAAGCATTTTAGAGATGTATCCCGTCCATCCTCTTTTGACTTGTAATCTCTGGTGATAGATTAAGCCGCTTGACATTGTATCCTTTCAAACTTGTTTTTTTTTGTTACCGTGTAGGGGTCCCATACTATGGCTCCATATTAAATTATAAGATCCATTCCTAAAGATCTAGATCATTGTTCTAATCTGACACAAATTTCAATAACTGGAATGCTACCCAAGTTGAATATATGGTGACCCACGAGAACAGCATTATCACTATTGAAATTGTGTTTAATACCATGATTGTTCAATGTCATTAACTTAAATGGAGACAGACATTTGACCTGAAAGACATGAAAGGTGGTGTGGGAGTGCAAAATCAAAAACTAACTGACTATGATATATGGTTAAAGAACGAATATCAATTACATGGGTCAACATGGTCAAGGGCAGAGTTGTTATAAAATAACAATATGGCAAAGAAGTGGTTTCAAGTTTCATATAAAGCGACCTGACTGACATGAAATAAAAAATCGAAGGTGTATCCCTATTTGTCTAATCTTCAAGGTGAAATAAAACTAGAAAAACAATATTATACTATTGTCTAAATATACAGAAATATAATTTGCTTCAAGTAACAGAAATAACTAGGTCACTAGTAACTTATTTAATGAGTATGTGGGGTATAAAAGCTTGCTAACAACAGGCTCTTCATAATCATTTTGGTTGAAAAGGATACTAGTAGTCTATATTCTTGATTTAGAAAAATGTAATTGCAAGAAAAAAATCACATTACTTAGAATACTTTAGATCATTCAGGTAGTCTATATTTATATGTACAAAAGAACAGCCAGTAGTCATTGGATATTGTAGATCATTCCGGTAGTCTTGACCTATTTATTTATACAAAAAAAAACCAGCCAGTAGTAATTGGATACTGTAGATCATTCAGGTAGTCTTGACCTATTCAATTGTACTGAAAAAAAAGACACATATACGAATATCAATTATATGCTTACGAGACATGTTGCAATGTTAAACTTATTACGGTATGTGAAAATCAAGACTTGTATAAAACATATCACAATATTAGAGACAGTGGCGTCATTTTTCCTCAGAGCTTTCAGCTCTTTGATTTAAAGGGAACTACTTATGATAAGTCAATGGTATTTGGTATGCGTTGTATTAGCATTTGCACATCTAATTTCCATGGAGATTGTTTAGCCATGTACCTTTAGTCATGGTTCATTGACTTTGAATCTTACATGTTAAAGTGTTGCTATTTTAATTTCAACATTTGCATTATCGAAATTACTAAAAAGCGAGACATATCTCTGTGATAACAGTTTATTTTTTTTATTACAGCAACTGTATTCCAAGAGTCTGACGGCTGATAATGTATTACAGGATTTTATCATTCAAGCAACATCTTAGAAGGATCAGTGCAAATGTTTGAAGGAAGCCTTGGGTACAAATAGCAATTCCAGCAATTACATGCAGGAGAGAACTCTTAAACATTACTTACAGACATGTAGTCATTATATGGGAGTGGTGTATTTAAGAAATCTAAAACACATGAAATTAAATATTGTGTATATTATTTCAACCACAAGTACTCTCAGAATATAATACAATTCAAATTCAAATTATTGTGTCAACATGACAATTATAGTCTAAAAATGGAAAATGCATGTTTATACTGAATTTTATATAAATATTTGAAACAAGAAATGATTGTAACAGGATGCTGTTACGAAGTCTCCCAAACGAAGCTCCCATAATTCGTAATTCCCAGGGTCGCCTGACATTGGGCCACATCCAGTGAAAATTGGTTTGGTCCAGTAAAGTTATATGCATTAGTGATGCCTGGGGACTAACCTTGTATATCATTCAAATCATCTTGGCATGACAAACCAGAATATATATGGTTTAGGGGTGGGGATCTCGACCATTTACAAGATACTAGAACATTGGGGGTGGGGAGGAACCCCTGGGGACTGGCCCTATACGTCATTCAAATGTTCATTACATGAGGAACAGGAATATATATGGTTTAGGGGTGGGGATCTCAACCATTTACAAGATATAAGAACATTGGGGGTGGGGGGAACCCCTGGGGACTGACCGTATACGTCATTCAAATGTTCGAGACATGACAAATAGGAATATATATGGTTTAGGGGTGGGGATCTCGACCATTTACAAGATATTAGAACTTTCTCAAATGGCAGGGGGTCGGGATGACCCCTGGGGACTAACCCTGTATTTCATTTGATGTGCTTTATCATGACAAACCAGAATATATATGGTTTAGGGGTGGGGATCTCAACCATTTACAAGATATTAGAACTTTCTCAAATGGCAGGGGGGCGGGATGACCCCTGGGGACTAACCCTGTATATCATTCAAACCATCTTAGCATGACAAACCAGAATATATATGGTTTATGGGTGGGGATCTTGACCACTTAGAAGATATTAGAACTTTCTTTAATGGCAGGGGGTGGGGGTGACCCCTGGGGACTAACCCTGTATTTCATTTGATGTGCTTTATCATGACAAACCAGAATATATATGGTTTAGGGGTGGGGATCTCAACCATTTACAAGATATTAGAACTTTCTCAAATGGCAGGGGGTCGGGATGACCCCTGGGGACTAACCCTGTATATCATTCAAACCATCTCAGCATGACAAACCAGAATATATATGGTTTAGGGGTGGGGATCTTGACCACTTACAAGGTATTAGAACTTTCTTAAATGGCAGGGGGTGGGGTGACCCCTTGGGACTAACCCTGTATTTCATTTGATGTGCTTTATCATGACAAACCAGAATATATATGGTTTAGGGGTGGGGATCTCGACCATTTACAAGATATTTGAACTTTCTCAAATGGCAGGGGGTCGGGATGACCCCTGGGGACTAACCCTGTATATCATTCAAACCATCTTAGCATGACAAACCAGAATATATATGGTTTAGGGGTGGGGATTTTGACCACTTAGAAGATATTAGAACTTTCTTAAATGGCAGGGGGTGGGGTGACCCCTGGGGACTAACCCTGTATTTCATTTGATGTGCTTTATCATGACAAACCAGAATATATATGGTTTAGCGGTGGGGATCTCGACCATTAACAAGATATTAGAACTTTCTCAAATGGCAGGGGGTCGGGATGACCCCTGGGGACTAACCCTGTATATCATTCAAACCATCTTAGCATGACAAACCAGAATATATATGGTTTAGGGGTGGGGATCTTGACCACTTACAAGGTATTAGAACTTTCTTAAATGGCAGGGGGTGGGGGTGACCCCTGGGGACTAACCCTGTAACTCATTTAATGGGCTTTATCATTTAAAACATTTTCAATTAAAAAGATTGTGTCTATCACAAACGGTTTTCAATTTATAATCATTTGAAAATTTTAAAAAATAAAATCCCATAGGGTTCTATAGTAAAACCCTCTTTTCTTTTTGCCCCTCAAAGTACCCCTTTATAAACCCCATTGCACAAACAAAACCCTGATTGCACCACTAGACATGTTAGTCTAACATATTGTGAAACCCTAAGTTAATCTGACAAGCGGTTTTGGAGAACGGGTGCGGACAAGTTCAAATTTAAAAGCGGCGGAAGAAGAAGAAGAAGAAGAAGAAGAAGAAGAAGAAGAAGAAGAAGAAGAAGAAGAAGAAGAAGAAGAAAGAAGAAGAAGAAGAATAATAATAATAATAATAATAAGAACTGAGCAAAAACAATAAGTCTTCCCAAACTTCGTTTGGGAGACTTAATAACAAGAATTTTTAGTCTATTGTGCAGCCAAACTTTGAGATCTTCTAATGGTATATGCCTGTTGTTTGTCAACATTTGTTTTCTTTTTGCCTTAACCTTATTAAGATTGGTGTTGAAATGAAAAAAACTGAAATACATATATGAAATAAGAAGGAAATGGTTGTAAATAACAGCAAGACTTTCAATATGGTATATGTCATGATCTACTTAATTAACCAATCAAAGAGCTTCTATCAACACTAAATTCTTTAAATATTTTTTTTTATTAGGATGAGACTTTAGACAACCACTGAAAAGGTTCCTGGCTTGAAACAGGCACATGAATATGTGGCAGAGTGAACTACTTTTTTCCCTAAAAACTTTCAAAAGAAAAATTGGCATCTTTTGCAAGTGAGACAATTTCCACAATGTGATTGCATTGTCTCATGACTGATAACCACAAAATGACTTGTACAAACATATTAAAAATGAAATACACATCAGTGCATACATATTCTATAAATGAATCACCAATCCTTACATCACTTTTAAAAAAAAGTATTGAGACTTGACCATAACCGAAAAAATTCTAGGAGTGAACTAAGGTGACCTGGATATTTGCTTGCCTTCTTTGCTTTATTGCATCCTATCTCTTGCATTGGAGATATTGTGAGTTGGGAGTTGATAGATAAATATTTTTTGTATTGTTTAGGATCAAGAAAGTAAAATATAATGGAAGTATGAACACATAGTCAAGACCAAGAAGAATATTTATATATATCAAAATAGAATGTGTACTAGATTAGCATTAACTTATCTAAAACATGCTCAAATACTGTGAATTTGTGTGATTGATGCTCAATTCACCTTAATTTCATTTTAGAAAAATTAACATGAAAGCTTGATTCACGTTAGTTTCACATGAAACATTTAATATGAATTTCACGTTAAAGCTCAATTCACATTAATTGCACATGAGTTTCATGTATAAGCTTGTTTGAGGTGAATCTCACAAGAAATTTACGTGCACAAAATTTGCCTGTGTATATATATAGAAAACACATGTATAACGCATGTGTTACAAAACGCATGTAATTCACTTGAGAACTAAGATACATGTCAACAATCATGGTAATTGGACAAATAGGAGGACATTTTGAAATATATTTAATACAGGCACCATGCCTTTTAAATGCAGTAATCACGCATGTATCACAGGTGTATTTCCTTACGCATGTTATTCACATGTGAAACGCATGATTACATGTGTGTATCATGCGTATCACATGTGTTTTCCACACATGTATCACATGCGTGGCATGAAACGTCTCTTTCACATGCGTGTGACACACATGTGAAACGCATGTGTCACGCATGTACACATGTGTGGCATTTTTGCCAGTGTAGGAAATTTGAGACATACGAGGTAAAATTATAATACCACTAGGAGAAAGAGATAACTGAACAAAATTTGCGAAACAAAGGCCTCGATAGAAGAAGAAAAATTGCCACTAAAAATAAAAGATCGTGTTCAATTCCCCCTCCCCCCACAAATAAAAATGAATAAATGATAAAAAGTACACTCGCCCCACAAAAACCCAAAATATTACTTCTTATTTAGAATAAATAAATTTTTTGCACCCCCCTAATAGGTTGAAAAATGACCCCAAAATGTTATGGGTCTCGTTTAATAACTTTAATGGAGATTCTCTGAGTATCCCCGTGATATACTCCAGGCCGCCTTGTGTTAGGTACATACACCCAAGTCTTCAAGTTTACCTATAGAATCGTATTTTTGGCGTGTTATTGTGTTTTCTTCCAAGGTGTTGAATGTTAAATCATCAGTATTGAAATTCATAATATATATAGTGCAAGATTGTTCATGCAGTTTCTTGAGATTTTTTTTCTTGATTGATTAGTTATTTCCATCTGTTGCTACGCACGTTTATTTTGTTCACTTTCGCAACTACAACTATCCTACATTTCACAGAAGATTCATTTTCATTCTGTCATGTGCAAAATCATTTATTTTTCAGTTCTTACCAGGCCAAGTTATTCATTTTCAAAATCCTCCACTTCACCCTTTGTTTGCATCCTTGTCTTCAATCTTGATAATCCATGTTGACAATTTGATGATGGTATAGTCATTAATAGACGTGTTTGGAAATTCAATACGATTTTGACGCTTATGTTAAATACCAATACCACTACAGGCTATAGTGGGGACCATCTCAAAAAGCACAGATAATCATTCATTATAGTTACCTGTATGAGTTTGTTTGATAATGCTGAGATGTTTTTTTTAACAATAAAATAGTAACAATTTATTCCGCAATACACGGACGAGGATTCAGTAAAACAAAACGATCATATTCTTGAAATTGCATTGTTTCATAGTAGTGATCGATTAAGTTTAAGATCGTTGTTCCTCCATTTCTTAAATTTATTTAAAATATACTTGTCATGTCGGGACCTTTCTTAGCTTTTATGCGGGATGGGTTTTGTTCCATTTTGGGGGCCATACGGTGACCTATAGTTGCAAACATTTACATCGGTTGAAAAGCGACAATTCCTTAAAAAAAAACGTTAAAATGTGTGAATTAATTATTCTTATTCATAATTTCCCTGACATTTTCTTTTTAACAACTTTTATCAATTAGTTTTTCATGTCTTTTCGGAAAGGAGATGTTATCAAATTAAGTTTTAAAAGATTACAACGTTTGGACATTATCAAGCATGTTAAATCTACGTTTCGGTGAAGGGTCGGAAGTTTTTTTTTTTCTTGTTATCACGGCTTTCTCTACCAACAAAACAGAACACCACGATTAAATTGAGATATTGTTGAAAGTGGCGTTAAACTTTCATATGGAGAAGTTAATTTTATTATCTTTGGGTCAGGAGGATATTTTGAAAATGG